AGAGAGCGGGGGATGATGCCATTTGCAAGGTAGGTAAACGGGACTTGTGAGTGGGTGAAGGTGGCGGGTTCTGTGGCATTGAAAGCGCTGGGGGGACATCTAATTGCAGATGTTTGACAGGCAGTGGGAGGTATAGACCCAGCTCTCAGCTGAGAAGTCCAGGCTGGGGATTACAGATCAGGAGACCATCAGCATTTAGGATGGTGGTATTTGAAACTCGGAGTGAGAGAAATAGCATGGGGAGATTCGGTAAACTACGAGAAAAAGGCCATGAATGCAAAATGAGCAATGATGACTGGGAAGAAGGAGAGAAGCCTGCAAAAAAGACTGAGGAGGAGGGACCGAAAGCAGGGGGGAAATGTGGAGTCAGACAGCCAAGGGAAGACCATGTTTCATTAATGTTACAGAGATTAGTCAACGAAAATACACATTCTCTCTCTTTTCATGTGATTCATGCTTCTAGATTGATATTGATGTGAACGTTCCTAGAGAGAAAGCTTAGTAATATGAGAGTAAGAAATAGACACATGGAAGCATATAATTATTGTTAAATATTAAAGGACTGAATTCTTAGTTTCTACCTCTTATAAAAAAGTGAGATGGCAATATTATGTCACAGGATTTTCATGGAAAAAAAATGAGATCAAAGCACTCTGTAAACTGAGAAGTGTTATACGAGTGGGTACTATGTTAGTTGAATGACATGTCTATCTGCTGTGGGATGGGACAACTATTGAGCAAAGTGTGGTCAGACCCAGATCAGTGACCAAAGTGTACACAGGTTGAAGGTTAGGGGGAAAGACAGCCGTGAAAACTTGCAGAGGTACAGCAGTCAGCATGCAGGGTCAGAGTGAGCAGCTGACCAGAAACTAGACAAACAGGAACATGCATATAGTGAAAAGTCCACACACAAAGCAAGCAAAACAAAGAAATCAAGGGGGTGGGGAATGAGTATAGAATAGATATGAGATATCATCCATGTCCAGGTAAATTTAGAAAGCAGAGGCACTGCTCAGCTTCAGCCAGTGGGTGTGGTATGTGCGGATACTTAGGCCTTCTTTTCTTCTTTCCCTACCTTGTTCCATAATAAATTTATGGTGGCTTAGAACAAACCCCCAAGAGTGGGTGACCTAGGATCTGCAGTATGTATCAGGCTAAAGGGGCACATAACTGGAGGCCACATTGATAAAAAAATATATAAAGATCCTGGCATAGAAACATTGAAACACATGTATTAAATGTATGTTCCTATCATACAGTCTCAAGAGTATTCTGTTTGGGATAGCTAGACTGGACCTAGGCAAATAGCTGGGCCTATTTGCAAACAGAAACAAGAACACACACACACACACACACACACACACACACTGCTCTGTTATTTTTACTCACTGTAAAATATTATGGGATCCTGGGATATAGATGAAGAAATATGCCTAAAGAGTTGGCTGTAGGACCATGAAAATGTAGATATATACAGATTCCATTCAGCAGAAATAGCACCCCTTTTATTACTAAATCTTTTATTACAAAATCATAAGCAAGTAATTCGGTAACATAACAATATCACAGTCAAGCTGATCATATGACAGTGTAGATGAACTGTTCAAATTAAAACTATAAATTATTACACCCATATTATTACCCTACAAACCACACTAAAGCAGGCATTACTTCTGCTGAACCCTGTATATTAGGAAAAATGGAAGAGGTCCAACTAGCTAAGGATGCTTGTGATTAAAATAGAGTATAAAGAATACTTTTTAAATAAACACCAAAAGTTAAACAGTGATAGTGATGGGACTCGTCTCTCACTCCTCATTTGTCAGGATATCACTGATTTTAAAGCTTCCTATGAAGTATTACACAGATCGTCAGTTCAGAAAGCCCTCTTTCTTACAAGTAAATAAATAATCTTTACAACAAAAACTTCCAGTATATCAGGATACCTTGTCTATTCTTTATAACACATGTTGATAGTAAAGATGCTCACTAGTTTTTTGATGGTGAAGTTACATTCCAGAGTCTATTCATTTTCCATTTCTAATGGCCCCATTTTATTAATTGCCATGATTTTCAATTCTGCTATCAGAAACAAGTCAGCTGTTACTCTGATTACAACTGGCTGTTTCAAACTATCATCTTGATTACAATGAGTGAATAGCATGCTGCAGATAGAAATACTTGGCATATTTCAAAGAGAGGGGTGGAAATTATTTCTGATGGTAGAAAATAGAATGATAGGATTTATACATAAAATCTAAGACTCCAGTTATCCTATTTATTATTTTTAAGCTATACACAATCTTCAGGAGTTTCCTCTCCAGGTAGGAACTTTATAGTGCAGAGCCTAAAAAATTTTGCATATGACATTGAACTATAAAACATTGGGACGGTTTTTAAATAAAGTATTGGTACAAGAAGACTATTCTCTTTCCAAGTCATTATCTTGAAAGGACATAAACTTCCTCTCGTGATGTCACAGTTCAAACATGTTTAAATTATTGATCAGCTTTTAAAAAGCTGGAATTGAGATTATGCTGGGTCCTAATGCCTCCTAGCTGAGCCTCTTTCCTGTTTCTGATATTCCTGGAGTTGTCACTACCTATAATCCTTTGGTTGTGGCTGTAAGGTGTGGCATTTGGCTAGCTGGAAGTAGTCACCACCTATGTTAAAATAGCTTTAAAAGATTTCCACATTCAGCCTCTGAAGGCTGTATTGTTCTTTGTGGTGGGTTCTTTCATTTCATACACAAAACGACATTAGTGTATGAATTTTGAAGATTGATCATGAAGTCTTCGTTTTGCCCAAAGTCACTCTTCAGAGTTTGCCAAGTTCAAAGCATCACAGGATTAGGTAAACCAATACTACAGCATCTCTTGGTGGCGCTGGAGCACTCTTTCCTATGGAAAAGAACAGCATTTTACCCACTGCTCAGAGTGGCAGTCAGAGCCAAGCACAGCTCGGTGGTGGTGGGTTGGCGGGGGGACAGGGCAGGATATGGGAAAGGCCACCTGATCCCTTCCCTTCAGTCTATTGTGCCCTGGCCTCCACAGCTGAACTCCTTCTGGGGCTTTGTGATCCACAGCTTGGGAAGAATCAGGGGAAAGCACTTGCCAAATTGTGCAGAACAGCTGCTTCCTGTTTAACTTTTTGAATGGAACATTTAATTTCTTTTTCAGAACATGTTGGGATGTAAGAAGGAATAGAAATGCCACCGTGAAAAATAGTTTTTTCATTATGGGAAAAAAAGCCTACATATTCAAAGGAGATAGGGTCTTGGTTTCTTATTCTATGTTATCTAAGATCATTAACAAAAGAATAAGTATTTTTTTCCGCAGAAGTTAATAACTATTCATTGACAAGTCAATAGCAGCTCTCTCAGTCTACGAGAAAGTTACTTAATAACAATAATGAACATAGTAGCACTTAGTATATGTCACACACTTCTTGCTTTTACATATTTAGTCACTTCTTAACTTTATGAGGTAGGTCCTATTATATCCATTTAACAGAAGAGAAAACTGAGGCACAGAGAGGTTAAGAAGCGTGCCAAGCCATACAGCTAGCATGAGGAAGAGACAGGATTTAAACCAAGAAAGTGGGGTCTGAAATCTGTGCTCCTAACCACCCTGTTGCACCCAGATGGTTGCTAAAAAGCAGGAAGAAAAATCCTTGCCTTTTCCTAGGTAAGAGTTCACTAATCTTTTAGTACAGTAAAGTGCAATTTTTACCTAATTCTTCAATATGAAGTGTGAGGAATTCAAAAATATGAAGAGCCTACAAACTCATTTACTTTTATGAATGGTTCTAAGCAAGCAAAATGCTTTATGGTTTTAAACAAGTCAAATGCATGAATTATCCTCTCTTGTGAAAACTCACATGTCATCTGTATTTACAATATCTCTTCTCTTCCATGACAGACAACACTGGAGCTAAATGAAGATTTTTTCTTTTAGGGAAAGGGAATTAGGTCAAATTAGGTCAAAGGTGAAATAACACTGGAGTTAGCTGAGAAAGAAATCAGGAGAAATCTGAGAAGAGCCCACTGGGACTTGGTTTCCACAATTCTCATATTTAACCATGAAATTAAAATTAGATGCAGGGCTGGATTTTCATGGTCGTAAGCAGTTCAGTCAGTGAGTTGCAGAGTTTACACTCTTCTTTCTATTCCTTTCCAAATTTCATTGTCTGAAGGACCTGAGAATTATGACCACTGAATGAATTCTCTCATTTTTATTAAAAATGAGTAGAAAGAGTTCAGAATTGACTCAGGAGAAAGACAGGAAACATGGTAAATGCAGGTAAGGGCACTCCAGAGTTTGCAAATGAAACCAAATCTCTAAAACATGATGATTTTGCTAAACTATTGTAGGTGACTCTGGAGAGAAAAAAAGACACCCCCATGTGAATTCTTTTTTATTTTTTTCTTCTCTAGTCAGAGTTCCATCCAGATGTTTCAGCTTTAAGCAGCCAGAAGAATTTTTAACATAGTAATTGAAACAGTAAACTAAGGCACTAACACATAAAAGGGATATTTATAATGTGATGTTTATTCAACTAACTTAAAATAATTATTTTAATTTAAATCATGAAAGGAATGGTCCACAGTAAAACAACGGTAATATTTCCAAGAATGTATTTTATTATCTCTAGTTCTGTATGCATTTTCAGCTGTTGACATCTGTTTTTATCACTATAACCACACAGAGTTGTTCAAAATAAAAGTTTTGACGCAACTAGACTGCATATGCCGATGAGAGTGAGATAAACTCAAAACAAGAAAACCAACACCAACAACCAGTAAAAGTGTTTTCCTTGATATTTATAGTCTATGTTTACAAAAGTAAAGTGAAAACCAATTAGTCACTATGTACATGTATTAATGAATATTAGTACTTCACATTTACATAAGTATGTGCATTTGTAATAATCAAATGAAAAAGATAAATTTTAAATTATTTTTATTTATGAAAAAATATAAAACTGATAACACTCATCAATTTGAGTGCTTGTTCAAAACCCAGTGCTTAAAAATGTTTGGGGGGGATCCCAAACTATAGCCTCATGAAAGATAATAAAAGTGAAGAGATAAGAAAATAGTGAGTGTTAAAATGTGATTTTTGTAAGTACGGAGGTGAGCCCTGGCTGGTGCGGCTTGAGTTCTGGCCTTCGAATGAGTACGGAGGTGAGCAGAAAGAAGATACACTTGTAGGCCCGAGTCACACGGCATTAATCAGATAAAGAATCTGAAACGAAAGGCGTGAAAACTGAACAGAACCAAGGTCCTTTCCAGACAGGGTACATGAAATTTATTTTGATAAGTTTGTACTGTTAGCCAATGTGGAATTGACTTCCTCCTAGAGTTTCGTTAGAACGTGTGTCTGGGACAACGACCCTACAATACGCTACAACGTCAGTTCTTTATTTGGCTTCAGTGACGAGGGCAAGGGTGCAATTTGCCATATAATGACTTCGCACAACTTCAGTGGGTATCTCTGTACTTACTGAAGAAACATCGGACGGCATCAACCATCGTCCCAGGCATGGGCTGGGTTGGAATTTTTAGATCTCGAGTTTCTTCTTTCTCTGAAGACTGAGGTCCCACAAGGGTTGAGACAACTCACCCCCCTAAAGGGAGCCCCCAGATCTTTCCCAGTGCTCATTCCCAGCCCATTCGTGTTGGGATGGGGCGCGGTGTTGCAAGCCAGCCTGCTAGTTGAGGCAGGGGCAGCAGAAGCAGCAGATGGTCCGGCAGGGGTTCTTCTTCTTGTACTGCACGGCCTTGCGCACCTGCGCCTTGGCCTGGCCGGTATAGTCGACGGTCTTCTTCACGTTGAGCTCAATGACGTTGAGGGTGTCGGCCTGCTCCTCCACCAGCACCGCCATCTGCAGGAAGAGCTCATGCACATCACGGATGCGGCTCTCCAGCCTCAGCAGCTCGCGGTGGCGGCTCTCGATCTCATTGAGGGCCGCCCGCGCGCCCTTCACGTCGGCCAGCAGGTTCTCGGAGAACACGTCCCACTTGCCCTGCTCGAACATGTCCTCGATCTGCTCACCCGAGACGTCCTTGCCCATGATCTCCAGCTGGCGCTGGATGCGGATCTTGCAGTTGTCGCGCTGCTTCATCTCGGCCTGGTTGTACTCGTACATGGCGCGCTGGAAGTTGCGGGTGAGCGCGCTGTACTGCGCGTGCGAGATGCGCGCCACGGCCGAGTTGGGTCCGTGCTGGGCCTCGGCCTCCTCGCTCAGCGCTTTCATGGCGCGCAGCTTGCGGTGAATGTTTTCGCCCCGGGTCTTGATGTCCTTGGCAATGGAGTTGGTGTCGCGCTTGATGCTGCTGAGACGCCGCATGGACGTCAGGAAGCGGGCATTTTGCTTTCCCAGCCGCTTCACGTCCGCCGAGAGCTGCTGGTTTTCACTCTGAAGGTCCTGGATATCTCGGTACAAGGACTCCAGGATGTGGTCCGTCTCGAACACGATGTCCTCGTGGAGCGAATCAAATTCATCATCTCCGTCTGGGAACTGCTGGTCATACTGCTTGGTTAACTCCAGAAGTTCTGATAGCCGGTCCTTCATTTTGCCTAAAAGTAGAGATATCGGGGTTAAGTTCTTCTAGTGAGAGTCAAATATTTGCAGTAAGGGAAGCTTAAAATAAAGAAACATTCTGCTCAGCACTCCCAATTCTTTATTCCTGGGTGTAATAAAGGCACTGAATGGAGCCAAATGTTCTATGACATTTTGCTTACAAGTAAAGGACAAATGTGACTTAAAGTCATGACCATGGTTGCATTTTATAGCCTGTAGGCCTCTGCAGTTCAGTATTACAGTATTCAATCAGCAATTTAAAAATTTAGGTTTCATTGGGAACAAATCTTTTTCTTGCTTTTAAGTTCTCCAATAATCACAAATCAAAACAGACAAAGGAAAAATAGGAAGAAAATACTTGCAAAAATCATTATTTTTTAATAAAAAGAGTCCATTTCCAAGGCTTTGGGGTCAAGTCTAAATGTCTATTTTGTGTTCATTTCAGCAGTGGTGAGCATCTCAGTCCTGTACATCGTAACAGTTCTTCAAATAGTGACCATATAAATCACGGTTTAATTTTTTTTTTCTTTTATAAATGTTGTGACCTGGCCAGGTGGCTCAGCTGGTTGGAGCATTGTCCCGTACCCCAAAGGGTTGCAGGTTCAACCCCTGGTTGGGGGGTGTACAGGAGGCAATCGATACATGCCTCTCTCCCCCCCCCACCCCGTCCTTTGCTCCCTCTCTAAAAATCAATAAACATATCCTTGGGTGAGGTTTTAAAAAAATGTTATAAAAGTAAAACATGCTTAAAGTAAAACAGCAAACTACTCAAAGACAAAAATCTAATAAGGAAGTATAAAATTTGGAAGTTGAAATTTCCTTGTTCATCTGCCCAATATATTTCAGTTTGAGTGCTTGTTCAATACTCAGTGCTTATAAATGTTTGGGGAGTGGGGGGAACAAGATATATTCTAATGGAAGATACTAAAAGTAAAGGATATATGGAAATAGTTAAGTGTTTAACGTGATTTTAATAAGTAGGAGAGGTGAGCAGAAATAAGGTATACATTTACGCAAGAATCACACAGCACAAGCCAGATTAAGGATCACTACTGAAAGATGAAAGGCATACAGTGTTTCCCAGGGTCTGTAGTGGTAAGCATCAGTAACAAAGCCGCTTTAAAAAAATTTTTTTTTACATGGAAAATTTCAATCATGCACAAGCTTAGTAGCAATACTAAAACACACTCCCATTTATCCATCACACAGCAGCAATATTTGCCTACTTTTAATGGCTTTTTGAAACAAGTTGGCAGCTCAAGGAGAATTTCCATGTTTTTATAAGGGTGGTTGTGATCATTTCCCTCCTTAGCAAGGCAAAATGCTGTTCTCTATATCCATATATTTTCCATAAGAGTAGCTAATATGTACCGGGTGCTTACATAGTGCCAGTAACCAATTTCTAGGCATTTTGCACATGATACCCTCTTTAATCTTTATACAGACTCCATGAAGGAGGCTTTATCATTATCAGAGTTGGCAAGTTGAACATCGGAAGATTAAAGAATTTAGCCAAGGCCACCAGTAAGTGAACGTTTAGGCTCCAGAGTACCCCACTTAACCACCATACTCAATTATCTTCAGCAAATGTACACCAGTGAGGCATGAAAACTATACCAGTAGACAAGGAAATGTCAGATCTGGAGCCTACTGGGAGGCGCCCCACTGCAGGCTGAAGCTGGTGCCCCTTGGGCTGGGCTTGGAGCCACCTGGTGGGAGCTATGAAGCCGGCTGAGGCCAGCCGCTGCATGTGCCAGGCGTGTGGCCACTTGGGAAAGGCCAGGTTTCGCGCTGAGACTGGCCACCCCTTGTGCCGGCCTTGGGGCTGCTACCACGCAGCTCCAATGTGAGCCCAGGCTGATTGCCACTTGTGCTAGCTCAGGAGGGCCTGGGAAAGACTGCGCTGTGTGCCCAGGCTGGCCTCCCCCCATTTGGAGGGTCAGGAGCAGGTTTGGGATTAACTCCAGCCAGGGCAAGGAGGCCGAGCAATGCTGCACCGGGGTGAAGGCCTTAGCCAGGTTCACCGAGAGGGACAGATCTGGTGCCTGCCTGCACTGGGGAAGCCAGGTGGAAGGAGAGCGCAACGATGGAACAATGGCATATGCCAACACTTCCATCCCCAGAGAGAGTTACCTCCATCCCTTCCCTCCAGCCCTCACCCGAACATTAGTCAGTTAAGTTCCTCCCTGTACAACCCAGGAGCTTCTCCGACTGCGGCCTCTGCCCTGGAGCGCGGAGTGAGTGAGTTTGTGGGTGAGTCCCCTAAGAATAGCATCCTGGTCTTCCACGGCCCTCCATTTGTCTCTGAGGTAATCCTCACTGGTTTTTAAAGCCAGGTGATATGGGGACCCCTCTTCCTGGCACAGGTACCCTGACTGGGGAGCCTCATGTGGGGCTCATATGCATCACAACCAGATTACCCTCTTATGTGTCCTGGGGAAAGTACTCAGTTAGCTACTATGGAGTTGAGCTGTATCCTCCTGATTTAGTATCCAATTTATTCTACTGTGCAAGAGTTAGATGGGAGAGAAAATGGATGCATTTTGATGAACAAGGCAAGAATAGGTGACACATGAGTTCCCTGCATCTTGGCCAAGACTCAGGAGGTACTACAATGGAAGGAAAGGGGTGGTTAAGGGACAGTGCCACACACCAGAACCTTAGGGATCTGCCTGTTGATCTCCCACCAGCCTGGACAGTTCCCATGCTCTCTACTGTTCTCCTAGTCATGCATCATCTCATTCATAATGTGAAGAGCAAAGCACACTTCAATCATACAGAAAATGGCCTTGGATGCATTCAGAGATGGTCATTCTTTCTCAAGCCCTAACAACAATAAAGTCATTGGTCCTAAATTAGGTGAGGACCTAGGCTTATTTGAAGGCTTATACCATAATCTGGTTAGCAGCATGTGGAATGAAGGATTCTCTATGGAAGGAGACCAGAAGGTGGCTTTCACCTTGCCTTCCAGCCCACCTTTCCTGGCGCAGTCTAGCCCCGCATGAGTTGGTCCCATTGAACTAGAAAGTCTCCTGGTTGCCAGAGAGCAAGCATTAGAAAAACTACAACAGAAAGTCAACCAAAAAGGCTGCTATTTCAAAGAATGTCTCCCAAGAGTTTCAGTTATATTCCCTCCTGCAGTTATATCAAAATACAGAAGTAGGCACAGAAAGAACATCAAACTGAGCCACACACCCAGAAGCCTGATTCTGAACTGTGATGTTCTAAAAAGGGAACTATGGTGAATTAGAAAGAATAATCAATTATATTGACCTTCCTGTCTGTGATAAAGAATATAATAAACTTTAGTAAATTGTATTCATAAAATTGCTAACATAAATCCTTCTTTGAATCACACAGAGATGAAGAATTCAAAAGAAAATTTAGAACCAACTATAACTATCAAAATCTGCTTCTGCTTTCCAATTCTCTTTTCAGGCATGCATAACATCTGTCCTGAGAGCTAGTTCTGTTAGGGAAGGAAGGGGAAATTATACAACCCATCTTTCATTGGGCAATCAGGCTTCATGTAAGAGAAAATAAAGAAACAGTCAAATGATGGTAGCTCAGAGGCTCTCAGACTTTAGGAAGCAACAGAATCTTCTGGGTAGCTGCAAACATTACTGATGCCTGGGCCCTTTAGAGTTTCTGATTCATTAGGTCTCGGGTGATCTGCAGGTGATTCAAGTGCACACCAAAATTTGTGACCCATTCCACTGACACTTATTTTGGCAGCTTTTTATTAGCAAATGCCATGCAGTTCCAAACAACTTACAACAGCCCTCAGGTTGGGGTCAGCTTGAACAAACAATTGACAGGGAAAGATTCAAAAAGACAGGGAAAGAAAGGTTCAGAAAACAGGTTTGTACCTAGTTCAAAAGCCTGATGAGTCGGGGTGATTACTGCATAAATACACTGTACCCTTGGTGCTACAAGGAACAGCCATAAAAGTCATGGTTCCCTACATGCTTCCAAGGGAACCAGTTGTAAACACATCACATAGTCACTATCTCTGATCGTAAAATGGAGGCTTTGTACCTACTTACCCTAAAGAGAAGGAAAAAAATGTCAATATGTAGTTATGAGCTGAATTGTAATATGCCCCCCCACCCCGCCAAGATTCATATGTTGAAACCCTAAGCCCAGAAACTCAGAATGTAACCGTGCTTGGAGATTAGGTCTTTGAAGAGAGAATGAAGTTAAAAGGAGGTCTTTATATAATGCATACATTATTATTCATTAAGCAATACATGCATTAAGCCAATTTTTCTTATTACCAGGGAACAAAGTCTTTCCCTTGATTCACAGCAATATATTAAGGTATTTTTACAAGTCATGAGAAACTTCAGACATGGGAAACACGATGCAGAGTGAGGCAATGTACAAACTGTGTGATGTTTATTATGAAGATGAACTTGTAGATTATAGGAGGGTAACAAATCCAAAAGCATGGACGGGCCTTCTTTTTGTAGTTATGACAAAGAACTGTATTAGAGACTATTCTTCTGTATGTGAATTCAGAAAGTTTAAGGCCTTTTTCATGTAAGAATTAACATATACATTTAGAAACACACACACAACAGTAATTTACTAGTGAAACTAAAAAGATCTTGCCCCAAAATATATATTCCCAATGAGGACTTTTGAGCAATGCTATTTACAAGCAATAATGAAGTTACCATATTCTGATTTTCAGATTTTATCATCTGTCTCTCCTATGTCCTGATTTTATAATAATTTTTAAAGTCTTGGTAAAAGAAAATGGTGATTACAAATCAGAATGTCTTTATGCCTGAGTTCACCACTGGTCTATATGGCGCCTTCATGAGCCTTTGTGAGGGACCATATGACATCTCTGTAAAGGCTAGAAGAGTGCCCCTTTCTCTGGCTGGATGCACCCCTGCAGCAGGGCACAGAGCCTGGGGTGCCCTGGGCACAGAGGGCTCTCCCCACCCTCATCCACGCGGCCAGGCACCCTTGTGCGGGGCAAAACATA